AACCTTTCTCCCCAAGTACCCCACTCCAGGCAGGCGAATACGTACGTGTGCGTGTGTTCGAGATAGAATAAAGAAAATAATCCGAAAAAAGAGGGTGCAACACGAGGACTTCCCAGGAGGTCACCCATCCTAGTACTACTCTCGCCCCCAAGCACGCTTACTGCGGAGTTCTGATGGGATCCGGTGCATTAGTGCTGGTATGATCGCACCCGTCATGCCTTGCGCCCTTAATTTATTAAAGGCGTTCGTTTTCTTCCGCCCCGCACTTAAGGGAGTCGCAAAATTCGGATTCTACGACCCCGAACCTTTCTCCCAAGTACCCCACTCCAGGCATGCGGAATACGTACTGTGCGTGTGTTCGAGATAGAATAAAAAAAATAATCCGAAAAAGAGGGTGCAACACGAGGACTTCCCAGGAGGTCACCATCCTAGTACTACTCTCGCCCAAGCACGCTTAACTGCGGAGTTCTGATGGATCCGGTCATTAGTGCTGGTATGATCGCACCCGTCATGCCTTGCGCCCTTAATTTATTAAAGGCGTTCGTTTTCTTCCGGCCCGCACTAAAGGGAGTCGCAAATTCGGATTCTACGCCCCGAACCTTTCTCCCCAAGTACCCCACTCCAGGCATGCGGAATACGTACGTGTGCGTGTTTTCGAGATAGAATAAAAAGAAATAATCCGAAAAAGAGGGGTGCAACACGAGGACTTCCCAGGAGTCACCCATCCTAGTACTACTCTCGCCCAAGCACGCTTAACTGCGGAGTTCTGATGGGATCCGGTGCATTAGTGCTGGTATGATCGCACCCGTCATGCCTTGCGCCCTTAATTTATTAAGGCGTTCGTTTTCTTCCGCCCGCACTAAAGGGAGTCGCAAAATTCGGATTTCTACGCCCCGAACCTTTCTCCCCAAGTACCCCACTCCAGGCAGCGGAATACGTACGTGTGCGTGTGTTCGAGATAGAATAAAAAGAAAATAATCCGAAAAAGAGGGTGCAACACGGACTTCCAGGGTCACCCATCCTAGTACTACTCTCGCCCAAGCACGCTTAACTGCGGATTTCTGATGGGATCCGGTGCATTAGTGCTGGTATGATCGCACCCGTCATGCCTTGCGCCCTTAATTTATTAAGGCGTTCGTTTTCTTCCGCCCGCACTAAGGGAGTCGCAAAATTCGGATTCTACGCCCCGAACCTTTCTCCCCAAGTACCCCACTCCAGGCAGGCGAATACGTACGTGTGCGTGTGTTCGAGATAGAATAAAAAGAAAATAATCCGAAAAAGAGGGGTGCACACGAGGACTTCCCAGGAGGTCACCCATCCTAGTACTACTCCGCCCAAGCACGCTTAACTGCGGAGTTCTGATGGATCCGGTGCATTAGTGCTGGTATGATCGCACCCGTCATGCCTTGCGCCCTTAATTTATTAAAGGCGTTCGTTTTCTTCCGGCCCGCACTAAAGGGAGTCGCAAAATTCGGATTCTACGCCCCGAACCTTTCTCCCCAAGTACCCCACTCCAGGCAGGCGGAATACGTACGTGTGCGTGTGTTCGAGATAGAATAAAAAGAAATAATCCGAAAAAGAGGTGCACAGGACTTCCAGGAGGTCACCCATCCTAGTACTACTCTCGCCCAGCACGCTTAACTGCGGAGTTCTGATGGATCCGTGCATTAGTGCTGGTATGATCGCACCCGTCATGCCTTGCGCCCTTAATTTATTAAGGCGTTCGTTTTCTACGGCCCACTTAAGGGAGTCGTAAAATTCATTCTACCCCGAACCTTTCTCCCCAAGTACCCCACTCCAGGCAGGCGGAATACGTACGTGTGCGTGTGTTCGAGATAGAATAAAAAGAAAATAATCCGAAAAAGAGGTGCAACACGAGGACTTCCCAGGAGGTCACCCATCCTAGTACTACTCTCGCCCAAGCACGCTTAACTGCGGAGTTCTGATGGGATCCGGTGCATTAGTGCTGGTATGATCGCACCCGTCATGCCTTGCGCCCTTAATTTATTTAGGCGTTCGTTTTCTTCCGGCCCGCACTTAAGGGAGTCGCAAAATTCGGATTCTACCCCCGAACCTTTCTCCCCAAGTACCCCACTCCAGCATGGCGGAATACGTACGTGTGCGTGTGTTCGAGATAGAATAAAAAGAAAATAATCCGAAAAGAGGGTGCAACACGAGGACTTCCCAGGAGGTCACCCATCCTAGTACTACTCTCGCCCAAGCACGCTTAACTGCGGAGTTCTGATGGATCCTGCTTAGTGCTGGTATGATCGCACCCTCATGCCTTGCGCCCTTAATTTATTAAAGGCGTTCGTTTTCTTCCTTCCGGCCCGCACTAAGGGAGTCGCAAAATCATTCTACGCCCCGAACCTTTCTCCCCAAGTACCCCACTCCAGGCAGCGGAATACGTACTGTGCGTGTTCGAGATAGAATAAAAAGAAATAATCGAAAAAGAGGTGCAACACGAGGACTTCCCAGAGGTCACCCATCCTAGTACTACTCTCGCCCAAGCACGCTTAACTGCGGAGTCTGATGGGATCCGGTGCATTAGATGATCGCACCCGTCATGCCTTGCGCCCTTAATTTATTAAGGCGTTCGTTTTCTTCCGGCCCGCACTAAGGGAGTCAAAATTCGGATTCTACGCCCCGAACCTTTCTCCCCAAGTACCCCACTCCAGGCAGGCGGAATACGTACGTGTGCGTGTGTTCGAGATAGAATAAAAAGAAAATAATCCGAAAAAGAGGGTGCAACACGAGGACTTCCAGAGTCACCATCCTCTACTCTCGCCCAAGCACGCTTAACTGCGGAGTTCTGATGGGATCCGGTGCATTAGTGCTGGTATGATCGCACCCGTCATGCCTTGCGCCCTTAATTTATTTAAGGCGTTCGTTTCTTCCGGCCCGCACTTAAGGGAGTCGCAAAATTCGGATTCTACGCCCCGAACCTTTCTCCCAAGTACCCCACTCCAGGCAGGCGGAATACGTACGTGTGCGTGTGTTCGAGATAGAATAAAAAGAAATAATCCGAAAAAGAGGGGTGCAACACGAGGACTTCCAGGAGGTCACCCATCCTAGTACTACTCTCGCCCAAGCACGCTTAACTGCGGAGTTCTGATGGGATCCGTGCATTAGTGCTGGTATGATCGCACCCGTCATGCCTTGCGCCCTTAATTTATTTAAGGCGTTCGTTTCTTCCGGCCCGCACTAAGGGAGTCGCAAAATTCGGATTCTACGCCCCGAACCTTTCTCCCCAAGTACCCCACTCCAGGCAGGCGGAATACGTACGTGTGCGTGTGTTCGAGATAGAATAAAAAGAAAATAATCCGAAAAAAGGGTGCAACACGAGGACTTCCCAGGAGGTCACCCATCCTAGTACTACTCTCGCCCAAGCACGCTTAACTGCGGAGTTCTGATGGGATCCGGTGCATTAGTGCTGGTATGATCGCACCCGTCATGCCTTGCGCCCTTAATTTATTTAAGGCGTTTGTTCTTCCGGCCCGCCTTAAGGGAGTCGCAAAATTCGGATTCTACGCCGAACCTTTCTCCCCAAGTACCCCACTCCAGCAGCGCGGAATACGTACGTGTTGTGTGTTCGAGATAGAATAAAAAGAAATAATCCGAAAAAGAGGGGTGCAACACGAGGACTTCCCAGGAGGTCACCCATCCTAGTACTACTCTCGCCCAAGCACGCTTAACTGCGGAGTTCTGATGGGATCCGGTGCATTAGTGCTGGTATGATCGCACCCGTCATGCCTTGCGCCCTTAATTTATTAAGGCGTTCGTTTTCTTCCGGCCACACTAAGGGAGTCGCAAAATTCATATTCTACGCCCGAACCTTTCTCCCCAAGTACCCCACTCCAGGCAGGCGGAATACGTACGTGTGCGTGTGTTCGAGATAGAATAAAAGAAAATAATCCGAAAAAGGGTGCAACACGAGGACTTCCCAGGAGGTCACCCATCCTAGTACTACTCTCGCCCAAGCACGCTTAACTGCGGAGTTCTGATGGGATCCGGTGCATTAGTGCTGGTATGATCGCACCCGTCATGCCTTGCGCCCTTAATTTATTAAAGGCGTTCGTTTTCTTCCGGCCCGCACTAAGGGAGTCGCAAAATTCGGATTCTACGCCCCGAACCTTTCTCCCCAAGTACCCCACTCCAGGCAGGCGGAATACGTACGTGTGCGTGTGTTCGAGATAGAATAAAAAGAAAATAATCCGAAAAAGAGGGTGCAACACGAGGACTTCCCAGAGGTCACCCATCCTAGTACTACTCTCGCCCAAGCACGCTTAACTGCGGAGTTCTGATGGGATCCGGTGCATTAGTGCTGGTATGATCGCACCGTCATGCCTTGCGCCTTAATTTATTTAAGGCGTTCGTTTTCTTCGGCCCACACTTAAGGGAGTCGCAAAATTCATTCTACGCCCGAACCTTTCTCCCCAAGTACCCCACTCCAGGCAGGCGGAATACGTACGTGTGTGTTCGAGATAGATAAAAGAAAATAATCCGAAAAAAGGGGTGCAACACGAGGACTTCCCAGGATCACCCATCCTAGTACTACTCTCGCCCAAGCACGCTTAACTGCGGAGTTCTGATGGGATCCGGTGCATTAGTGCTGGTATGATCGCACCCGTCATGCCTTGCGCCCTTAATTTTTTAAGGCGTTCGTTTTCTTCCGGCCCGCACTTAAGGGAGTCGTAAAATTCGGATTCTACGCCCGAACCTTTCTCCCCAAGTACCCCACTCCAGGCAGGCGGAATACGTACGTGTGCGTGTGTTCGAGATAGAATAAAAAGAAAATAATCCGAAAAAGAGGGGTGCAACACGAGGACTTCCCAGGAGGTCACCCATCCTAGTACTCTCTCGCCCAAGCACGCTTAACTGCGGAGTTCTGATGGGATCCGGTGCATTAGTGTGGTATGATCGCACCCGTCATGCCTTGCGCCCTTAATTTATTAAGGCGTTCGTTTTCTTCCGGCCCGCACTTAAGGGAGTCCAAAATTCGGATTCTACGCCCCGAACCTTTCTCCCCAAGTACCCCACTCCAGGCGGCGAATACGTACGTGTGTGTGTTCGAGATAGAATAAAAGAAAATAATCCGAAAAAGGGGTGCAACACGAGGACTTCCCAGGAGGTCACCCATCCTAGTACTACTCTCGCCCAAGCACGCTTAACTGCGGAGTTCTGATGGGATCCGGTGCATTAGTGCTGGTA